AAATTCACTTCAAAAAAAAAAGAAAAATTCACTTTGGTCTTTTTTAAGATCATCTTTATTTTGGGTCTCTATTATTTGCAGTTGAATTGAATCCTGATTCATTACCTCATAGGGTTGTTATAAAGATTAAATAAATGAGAGAATACACATAGACCACTTAGTCCAATACTAACTTTTAACACAGGGAAACATTCAATACAGAATGGTTATTCTCAGGGATATGCATCACCAAGAGCCTGTCAAATGGTCATGCCACAGGAAAGAGGACTCCTGCATGAGAGACAGCAGGAGTTAGGACCTCCCAGGCATCTTTTCCACTTTCCCTGGAAGATTTGAGCCCAGCTTGTTCTGGTCAGTGGCCTGTTGGAGCTTAATCATTACGGCTCACCTGGTGCTTTGTTAGTTGAGAACAGAAAAACTGGCATTAGCTCCAGGCGGTGACAGGCACAAGCCAGAGTCCTGCCTCTGCAACCCAGGCAGGAAACCTGCCGCCTGATCACACATCTCGGGATGGCCGAGGAGCAGGAGAATGCGGACGGTCGGACCATCTTCATAACTGCAGGTTCTCCACCCCTCACACAAGACACCAAAGAGAAATCTCAGGCCACAGCTTCTCTCAAGTCTAACCTTTCTAACCAACCCCCACCCCTCCCTTCCACCACTGGTGTCATTTCAACTCCTGGAACATCAATCTCTTCCTCAGGGCAGAGCTTTTATTCATTCTGTTCCCCTAGCTTGGAAGGTCCAAACCCCAAAGCCTGAACGTCCCCTCCTGGGAGAGGCCGTCTCCGACAACCAGTACCTCTTTCTTTCTGGCATCTGTCACTACTTGCAAGTAATGCATATGTCATTTATACGTTTACACTGCTTGTTAGTCCCCCTTACTAGAGCGGAACCCCTTGAGGGCACGGATCTTGTCTGGCTTTTTCATCGCTTATTCTTCGATATTTAGCAAAAGACCTGGAAGGCACGTTTTCATTTCGTATTTGAAAAATGAAGGAGTGAATGCAGCAAAGCCCCTATTTAACGTTTCCTCGCCCTTTACCATCCACCCCTGCGCGCCACTCATCACCACGTCCCCCCTCCAGCATGGACTGCCTCACTTTTTCCGGCTCCCAGCAAAAGAATCAAGGTCTCCTTCAGGCCGTTTCCACGCCCGACTCTTCAGGCAGCCCAGTTAGGCCCTGCTCTAAGGCTCAGAAGGTGTTAGAGTGCCGGCTGGAGGCGTCTGGGCTCTCGCTGAGCTTCTGTGCCGGGGCCACAACTCGCCGGGTACCGTGCACAGGCCAGTCATTACCAGGGCCTCATGTGGTCTCTGGGCAGCAGCAAGTCTCAGCTCTGCGCGAGAAGCTAAGCTGGAAGCGGCTGTGGCCCGGGCCCTCGCCTTCTATCCGCCCCCTCTCTAGGACGGAAGGAGGTTTCGAGTCTCGGTGGTAGCATGGAGCCTGTGCCGAGCGGAAAAGGCAAAGTTCCAAAGCCCAAAGCGTGGACCAGTTGCCAGGCAACCGTGGGGCTTGGGGGATGAAGGGGAGGGAATCCCTAGAGAACAAACATCGGTCGTGATTGGTCACTTTTGCTGGAGCCCACCCCTTAGCCCCGCCTCAACACTTGATTGGCAAAGGCCAACGTGGGAAGGGCGGGACCTTAAGGAACCGATCCTCCTGGATATGAGGTGACCTCCAGACCTTGGACTCCGCGAGGTCACACGAGTTTGGAAGGAGTTTCTCAGGCTACCGCAGTGCTGAATCAGCCAAAGTCCCCAGCCCGGCCCGGGGAAGGACTTTAGCAAGGACTTGGGCCGGGGAATTCCCTGGCGGTCCAGTGGTTAGGGACTTGGAAGTTTTCATTTAATTTCATCAAGCTCAGTTCAGTCGCTCAGTTGTGTCCGACTCTTTGCAACCCCATGAATTGCAGCACGCCAGGCCTCCCTGTCCATCACCAACTTCAGGAGTCCACCCAAACCCATGTCCATTGAGTCAGTGATGCCATCCAACCATCTCATCCTCTGTCGTCCCCTTCTCCTCCTGCCCCCAATCCCTCCCAGCATCAGGGTCTTTTCCAGTCAGCTCTTCGCACCAGGTGGCCAAAGTATTGGAGTCTCAGCTTCTTCACAGTCCAACTCTCACATCCATACATGACCACTGGAAAAACCATAGCCTTGACTAGACGGGTCTTTGTTGGCAAAGTAATGTCTCTGCTTTTTACTATGCTGTTTAGGTTGGTCATAACTTTCCTTCCAAGGAGTAAGCATCTTAATTTCATGGCTGCAATCACCATCTGCAGTGATTTTGAAGCCCAGAAAAATAAAGTCAGCCACTGTTTCCCCATCTACTTGCCATGAAGTGATGGGACCGGATGCCATGATCTTCGGTTTCTGAATGCTGAGCTTTAAGCCAACTTTTTCACTCTCCTCTTTGACTTTCATCAAGAGGCTCTTTATAGTTTTTCTTCACTTTCTGCCATAAGGGTGGTGTCATCTGCATATCTGAGGTTATTGATATTTCTCCCGGCAATCTTGATTCCAGCCTGTGCTTCATCCAGCCCAGCGTTTCTCATAATGCATATAAGTTAAATAAGTTAAATAAGCAGGTGACAATATACGGACTTGATGTACTCCTTTTCCTATTTGGAACCAGTCCTATTTGGACATGGACCAGTTCCATGTCCAGTTCTAACTGTTGCTTCCTGACCTGCATATAGGTTTCTCAAGAGGCAGGTCAGGTGGTCTGCCATTCCCATCTCTTTCAGAATTTTCCAGTTTTTTGTGATCCATACAGTTAAAGGCTTTGGCATAGTCAATAAAGCAGAAATAGATGTTTTTCTGGAACTCTCTTGCTTTTTCAATGATCCAGCAGATGTTGGCAATTTGATCTCTGGTTCCTCTGCCTTTTCTAAAACCAGTTTGAACATGTAGAAGTTCACGGTTCACGTGTTGCTGAAGCCTGGTGTGGAGAATTTTGAGCATTACTTTACTAGCGTGTGAGATGAGTGCAATTTTGCAGTAGTTTGAGCATTCTTTCGGATTGCCTTTCTTAGGGATTGAAATGAAAACTGACCTTTTCCAGTCTTGTGGCCACTGCTGAGTTTTCCAAATTTGCTGGCATATTGACTGCAGCACTTTCACAGCATCATCTTTCAGGATTTGAAATAGCTCAACTGGAATTCCATCACATCCACTAGCTTTGTTCGTAGTGATGCTTTCTAAGGACCGCTTGACTTCACATTCCAGGATGTCTGGCTCTAGGTGAGTGATCACACCATTGTGATTATCTGGGTCATGAAGATCTTTTTTGTACAGTTCTTCTGTGTATTCTTGCCACCTCTTCTTAATATCTTCTGCTTCTGTTAGGTCCATACCATTTCTGTCCTTTATTGAGCCCATTTTTGCATGAAATGTTCCCTTGGTATCTCTAATTTTCTTGAAGAGATCTCTAGTCTTTCCCATTCTGTTGCTTTTCTGTTTCTTTGCATTGATTGCTGAGGAAGGCTTTCTTATCTCTCCTTGCTATTCTTTGGAACTCTGCATTCAGATGGGTATATCTTTCCTTTTTCCTTTGTCTTTCACTTCCCTTTTTTTCACAGCTATTTGTAAAGCCTCCTCAGACTGCCATTTTGCTTTTATGCATTTCTTTTTCTTGGGGATGGTCTTGATTCCTGTCTCCTGTACAATGTCACGAATCTCTGTCCATAGTTCATCAGGCACTCTGTCATTTCATCAAGGCCAAGGGCAGAGTCGGACACGACTGAGCAACTGAACTAAACTGAAGGGTAAAACAGGCAGGCAGTCTCAGGCAGGGCAAGTTACAAAGGACATGTACTATAATGAAAGCTGAGCACTGAAGAATTAATGCTTTTGAACTGTGGTGTTGGAGAAGACTCTTGAGAGTCCCTTGGACTGCAAGATTAAACCGGTCAATCCTAAAGGAAATCAGTCCTGTATTCATTGGAAGGACTGATGCTGAAGCTAAAACTCCAATACTTTGGCCACCTGATGTGAAGAACCAACTCATCTGAAAAGACCCTGATGCTGGGAAAGACTGAAGGTGGGAGAAGGGGATGACAGAGGATGAGATGGTTGGATGGCATCATGGACTTGGACTTGAGTTTGAGTAAACTCCAGAAGTTGGTGATGGACAGGGAAGCGGGGCGTGCTGCAGTCCATGGGGTTGCAAAGAGTCGGATACAATTGAGAGGCTGAACTGAACTGTGCAAAGAGGCCAAGGAGGTGAGAAGTAGGAGAGGGAGATGGCATCAGCCTCAGAAAGGACCAGGAGAGGTAGGGGGTCCCTGGTAAGTGAGAAATCCTCACTGGATTGAAGCTGGGACCCCAGGATGTAGGTGAAAATGTGCAGCCACAAAATGCAGGCCCCAGTGCCTGAGACAGGAGACAAGGTAGGCAGAAGACACTGAGCAAGAATTCCCATGCTGACTCTGCCCTGCTCCCGACTCCCTAGGAAAAGAGCCATGGGAGGGTCCATGGCTCAGTAGGAATACCTAATGACAACAGCAGTGGAAGTGGCCGGCTGGCTTCAGGTTGAAAACTTCTAGATTCTGGAATGGTTCCCAAGCCAGGTGAAGGCTGGGGAGGAAGGTGCCTTCTCAGAGGACTGAGTGAGAATGCATAGTTGCCCCGGGAGTCTCCACTTTCCCCCACGAGTCCAGGATCAGCTTCCAGAGCCCCATGAAAGGAAGCTATAGGCTGTCGCTTGAATTCCAAGGCCTTTAATTTGCGGCGAGCATGCCTGGTCCTCATCTGAGCTCCTCCCGTGTTGCCACCCCCATGCCAGCACCTCCCCGCCTCCCTTCTTGGGTCTCCCAGGTCATACCCCCACAGCAGATGCCCCGGCCCCTCCCTCCCAGCCTCCTAGGTAGGGGCAGGCGGGGGTGCCGCCAGAGTCCCGGCCGCGCCCAGCATCAGCATGGCCAGGGCCTTGGGCCCCGCCGTGTGGATCTTCTCGTGCCGGTGCAGGTTGGAACGCCGGCTGAAGCTCTTGCCGCACAGCGGGCAGGAGTAGGGCCGGACGCCGCGGTGGGTGCGCTGGTGGGCGGTGAGGTGCGAGCTGTGGCTGAAGCTCTTGCCGCAGTCGAGGCAGTGGTAGGGCTTCTCGCCGGTGTGCGTGCGGTTGTGCGCAATGAGGTTGGATCGCTGGCTGAAGCACTTACCGCACTCGGGGCACGGGTAGGGCTTGACCCCGGTGTGGGTGCGCTGGTGGGTGACCAGGGCCGAGCTCTGCGTGAAGCACTTGCCACAGATGGGACACTTGTGCGGCTTGGCGCCCGTGTGGGTGCCCTGGTGGGTGACCAGGTCCGAGCGGCGGGTGAAGCGCTTGGCGCAGCGGTCGCACACGTAGGGCTTCTCGCCCGTGTGGATGCGCTGGTGCTGGATCAGCGTCGAGTGGTGGCTGAAGCTCTTCCAGCAGGACGGGCAGGTGTAGGGCTTCTCACCCGTGTGGATGATCTGGTGCTGGATGAGGTGCGAGCTGCGGCCGAAGCGCTTGCCGCAGTCCGTGCAGGCGTAGGGCTTCTCGCCCGTGTGCGTGCGCCGGTGGGTCACCAGGTGCGAGTGCCAGCTGAAGGCCTTGCCGCACTGCTCACACTTGTAGGTCTTCTTGCCCGCCTCGCTGTCCAGCGCCAGGACCTCCTCGCCGCTCTCGGGGGCGGCCGTGCCCCCCTCTCGGGGTTGTTCTGGGAAGTGGCCCTCCTGGGTTTTCGGGAAGTCGGTGTCAGGCGGGGCTGATTCCAGCTGTGCCTCCTCCACGGGACGGGGCTGCACATCACCCTTGGCTGGCCCTGAGTTCTGGCCGCAGGCTGCTCGCTGCCCACACCGCGGGGCCTCCCCTTGGCCTCTTCCCACTCTGCTTTTGAAGGACTTTACATCGCCAAGGGCTCCCAGCGACGCAGCCAGCTCCTCCTTGTCTGCCTCCACCGCTCCTGGATGAACAGGGTTTCCAGCAAGAGAGAGGCTTTCATGAGGGCCCCAGGGGAGTCCTGGAGATGGAGATGAGGGCAAGCACCTGTGGGGCACCCTGGAAGCAAGAGCCACCTCCACACAGGAGGGGAGGCAGGTGGCCCCGCCCCAGGAGGGGCTGTGTGTCTGCACCCCACAGGAAACAGCCCGCGCTGACCTGGGGCATCCGAGAGTGACAGCCAAGACCCCACTGCCCCGCCCACCTGTCCCCTCTGCACGCACCTCTTTTCTCCTCCTCCTCATGTCCCAACTGCCTGCTGGAGCCCGGGGCCTCGCCCTTGCCCTGCCCTTGAGAGGCCCAGAAGGGTCTGCTGAAGGGAAACCCTGCTTGGAAAGAGATGCTGTGCTCAGTCAGGGCCCTTCGGGCTGCACAGTGGGAGATACCAGCACCCACCCCCCAGAGAGATGATGGAGTGAAAGAGGGGGTGTAGCTCTGCAAACGCAGGGCAAAACCAGATGGCCACACCCTCTCAGGATGCAGTTTCCCAGGCATCGTCCACTCTTCTCAGGGCTGGCCACCCCTGTGTCACACAGCCCCCAGCAGTGGCCCCCTCAGTAAGAATCCAGATGCAGTCTTCCTCTCCTGCACCTGCACCTTCCCAGGACCACAAACAGGGCTCCTGGGGGTGGGGGGGCAGTGGGCAGAGAGAGGCTGGTGGGAGGGCTGGGGTGAGAGAGACAGGGACACTGACCACCCAGAAATCAGGGACCAACGGCCTATTTGCCAAGCCCCCCAGGTTTGAGGGCCTGGGAAGTCTGGTCAAGTCAGGAAGACAGCAGTGGGGGCCCCAGGCTTCATGACCTGATTCAAGCCCCATGGGAGGGAAGGAACATGTGGACCAATGGGTGGTTTAGGGCATTCATGAGGCCCACCATGGGGCTGCAAGTGGAGGTTGGTTCCCTCTGATCTCCCAGGACTTGCCTGGCTGGACCTGCTGGCCGAGGCCCCGGAGAGTCCCAACATTGGGTGGCGAGCAAACCTGAGATAATTATAGGCGTAAGCAGAGCCACTGCTGTGATCCTGAGGCCCACCACCAAAGTCAGAGGGTGGAATCACCCAGTCTGTGGCTCCACTGGGACCAGCAGGTGTGTAACAGACACGCATGCACTGGCAGACAGACTGACTGACCAAATGAATGAATGAATGCTCTGATTTTCCCATAAACCCTCATAAAATTCTGTCATGAAAACTACAGCCTGAAGTGAGGAGTCAAAGCCCTGGGACTTGATTACTCACCATGAGAAAAACCAAGGGAACCAAGGCCCCTCTGAGAAGAGGATGCTGCCCTGGGAAGGGGATGTGACAGCTCAGAGTCAAAGGCCTGGAGGGACCAGTTGGCACCGTTCCCCATTCCCTGGGCCTGCAGCCCAACCCAGAGCCAAGCTTCTGCTCAGACACCTCTGAAGCTGGGCTTGGAGGGGAGAGGAAGGGGAGCTACTGGAAGGAGCTAGGGAAGAACTAGAGAGAAGCAATCTCTAGGTGGGCACTGTCCAGCATGGCAGCCGCTGGCCATGCGTGGCTACTTCAACTCAAATCTGAGCTGATTAAAATAAAAGAGCTCAGTGGCTCCAGCTGCATTTCAAGGACTCACTAGCTACATCTGGCTTGTGGCTACCACATCAGCACAGAAAGAACACATCCACCACTAGAAAGGTTCTATAGGATAGCAAGGTCCGGATAAGCTGCAAGAGGGGATTCAAGCCCTGGAAAAGGGGGAGGAGGTGGTGGTACACGGGTCCCGCTCTGATTCCCCAGCCCTTACCCAAGGACAGCCCGCTCCTCTTCTGCAGGACCTCCCTGTAGCTCTGCTGGGTGTGGTCCAGCCGCCCCCATTCCTCCCGGGAGAGGTACAGAGCCACGTCATCAAAGGTCACCGGCATCTGAAACAACACAGAAGGCCCCCTCTCCAGGACATGCCCCCTCTCCGGGACTCACTGGGATGTGGTGGAGGCGCTCAGTGGTGCCAGGACAAGGACAGACCTGGACCCCCATCCTGCCAACTGGAGTGAGGCCCGCCCTGGGTCTGCTGGTGAGGCAGGGCAGCTGCCTAAGGAAGACTTTTGGGGGCGAGAACCATGCGACTGTGGACAGCGGAGGACAAAAGCAAGATTCCCTTCCAGCACCACTTCCAAAGCTCAGGATCTCTGGCCCCCACCCTCGGGTTCAGCGCTCGGATCCGAAGCACAGCTCCGTCACAGACGCTGTCCCTCCACGTCCTTTGGCTCTTTCTCCAGCCCTGGACGTGGACACTCACCTGGGACCAGGCGGTGAGGAGCGCCGCGGCCATCTGCCGGTCTCTGGTCCTCCCCTCGCGGGAGAGCAGAGGGATCTGGGGGGCCGGGAGGGCTGAGAGAGGAGAGAGGTCCTCAGGCGGCCACCTGGCCCTGCTTGGCCCTCCTGCTCCCGGGAGTGAGCGAATGCCAGGCCCACCAGGGGCTCCCCCGCTGCCTCCAACTCCACCCCCAACCTGACCTGAGAGGAGGGTCAGTGGGCTCAGGGTGAGTGGGGCAGCCTCTGCAGGGCAGACCCCCGGGTCTCCCTACCTGGGCTAGGAGCAGGGAAGGGGCCCCTCTCCCCGTTCTCTGTCTCACCTCCTCCAGGCAGGAAACACACTTTCTCCTTAGCACCCTGGCTTAGGGGCATCCAGCCCCGCGCTCCTTGAGCTCTGGCCTCCTGCGACATCCCTTCAGGGTGTGGCTCCTCTGGCTCCATCTTGATGTGGGGTGACTCCCGGGCCTCTCCCAGAGGCAATGTCCCCTCTGACTCAGAGAGCATTTCTTGACAAGAATGCCCATGACCTGGAGTCTAGGAATGACAGCGGCATCAGCACTGGGACGGAGGATGGGAGACACAGAGGCAGACCCCGCAGTGGCGGAGCGTACACCCAAGTGCAAGGCTGCCCTGCTCCCCTCTCTGTCCCTGAGACCTGCACACCCTGGTTCATGCCCACCAGCAGGCAGGACCGTGGGGGAAGGAAGGGAGGCTGGGCATGGCCCTGCAGGTGCCCACGGGGCAGACGCCTCTTCCCAACGTGAGCCTCACACCTCCCAGAACAGTGTGGATTGTTATTCTCTAAGAAGAAGCAAGAGCGTTCCAGAAAAACATCTATTTCTGCTTTACTGACTATGCCAAAGCCTTTGACTGTGTGGATCACAATAAACAGTGGAAAATTCTGAAAGAGAAGGGAATAGCAGACCACCTGACCTGCCTCCTGAGAAATCTGTATGCAGGTCAGGAAGCAACGGTTAGAACTGGACATGGAACAACAGACTGGTTCCAAATAGGAAAAGGAGTACGTCAAGTCTGTATATTGTCACCCTGCTTATTTAACTGATATGCAGAGTACATCATGAGAAACACTGGACTGGAGGAAGCACAAGCTGGAATCAAGATTGCCGGGAGAAATATCAATAACCTCAGATATGCAGATGACACCACCCTTATGGCAGAAAGTGAAGAACTAAAGAGCCTCTTGATGAAAGTCAAAGAGGAGAGTGAAAAATTTGGGTTAAAGCTCAACATTCAGAAACAGAAGATCATGGCATCCGGTCCCATCACTTCATGGCAAGTAGATGGGGAAACAGTGGAAGCAGTGGCTGACTTTATTTTTCTGGGCTCCAAAATCACTGCAGATGGTGATTGCAGCCATGAAATTAAGATGCTTACTCCTTGGAAGGGAAGTTATGACCAACCTAGAAAGCATAGTAAAAAGCAGAGACACTACTTTGCCAACAAAGGTCCGTCTAGTCAAGGCTATGGTTTTTCCAGTGGTCATGTATGGATGTGAGAGTTGGACTGTGAAGAAAGCTGAGTGCCAAAGAATTGATGCTTTTGAACTGTGGTGTTGGAGAAGACTCTTGAGAGTCCCTTGGACTGCAAGGAGATCCAACCAGTCCATCCTAAAGGAGATCAGTCCTGGGTGTTCATTGGTAGGACTGATGTTGAAGCTGAGACTCCAATACTTTGGCCACCTAATGCGAAGAGCTGACTCATTGGAAAAGACCCTGATGCTGGGAAAGATTGAGGGCAGGAGGAGAAGGGGACGAGAGAGGATGAGATGGTTGGATGGCGTCACCAACTCAATGGACATGGGTTTGGGTGGACTCCGGGAGTTGGTAATGGACAGGGAGGCCTGGCGTGCTGCAATTCATGGGGTTGCAAAGAGTCGGACACAACTGAGTGACTGAACTGAACTGAATATATGAACAAACAGTGTGGTTGGGTCAGGTGAATAGTGTTCCCCCAAAATTCATGTCTACTTGGAACCTTATTTGGATTAAAGGTCTTTCAGGTATAATGGAGTCTAGGGTCCACAGAGTCACAAAGAGTCGGACACAACTGAAGCCACTTGGCACAGATGTAATGAGCTAAGGATCTTGAAATTAAATCATCCTGGAATCAGTTGGGCCCTAAATCCAGTGACTGGTGTCTGTATGTAAAGAGAGGACACAAGGATTTCCCAGAGGTCCAGTGGTTAGGACTCCAAGCTTTCACTGCCAAGGGCCAGGGTTTCATCTCTGGGAACTAGGACCCCACAAGTCAAAACAAAACAACAAAAAAAGAGAGCATAGAAACAGAGGCAAAGCCAGGTGAAGTTGTTACTAGAGATTGGAACGATGCTGTCAGAAGCCAGGGACACCTGGAGCCAGCAGAAGCTGAAAGGCAGGCAGGATCCTCCCCTAGAGCGTTGGGAGGGGTCCTGCCGACACCTTGATTTTGGAGTTCTGGCCTTCAAATGTGTGAGAGAATAAATTCTGGTTGTTTTAAGCCACCCACTTTGTGGTCCCTTGTTACAGCAAACACAGGAACCTAACACACCCAGGCGCCGAGATCAGACAATGGCCCAAAGTCACAGAGCTGGGAGTGACTTGACTGAGATTGGAACTCAAGTGGAGCTGACCCGCAAGTCACCTCCAGGGCAACCACTTCTTGAAAGTGACAGGAAAGCCTGTGGCCTTGGCCCATTTCAGGCCTTACTCAATTGGTCAGAGAAGCTGGAGTTTCTGATTTGGAAAAAGTCCAAGGGTACCTCTAAATGTGTTGAGTCCCTGCATCCACCTAGGTCTGATGGAAAGAAAACTCCCAGGCTCATCCTCTTCAGCACTGCCTCCCACGGTGGGACTTCCAGGGCCCTCCCTGTCCCCTTAACAGCAGCCTCAAGGCCCAGCACTCTGGGAGGCTGAGGGGCAGGCTTTGGAGTCAGGCTGCCGGGGCTGAAATCCATAACCTCTGGTCACTAGCCTTTTAGCCCAAAGCAGAGCAGAGCATTGGGGAAAGTCACTTGCCTTGCACTGGGAGGTCCTGTGAGGCCTCCTTTCACCCACAGCACTGGGCACCAGCCAGCCTCCTGCTGGGAACTCAAGTCTATCCTTCCACTTCCTCGCCCACCTGGGTATAGGTTAGGGTCTGGACAAGAAACACCTCAAGCCCGGAGTCAAAATGCCTGGGCCAGGTGGCCTCTGAAACCCAGCTGCTCTGCCTCCGCACTGGTAACACACAAGAGCTACCTTCTCCAGAAAGTTCTGGATGAACAAAGACCGGTGCTGGTAATTATTATTATCACTCTCTGGTGGGAGCTGACAGAATCCAACATCAGCAGAGAATGCTATGGACCTATGAGGCCCACTGGGTATTACAAAGGCATGATGGAAGGGAAACTGAGCAGTGGAAAAAAATTCTTTGTGCTTCTATGATATGAACACAGAAAAAAAAAAAAAACACTTGATTTGTCTTTGCACTTGCAGCCACTGGAATCCTAGTTGAGGAGTTCCATGTTTCTCTGACCCAGGATCTAGTTGCCAAGGGTGGTGCTGGTTTACAAGCTGCAGTAATGAGCTCCTACAGGCTGATGAGCTGCACACAGACGACTCCCCTGCCTATTATCTTCTCCCAGCCTCCCCACCACCTGGCGAGACAGGTGGGCACGGCAGGCACATGATCCGCACTTTACAGATGACACATCTGGTTCCCAGAGGCCAAGGGCCCTGTGCAAGGTCACACACTAGGCTGCAGCTGACTCAGGTTCCACCATGGCTGGTAACCCTGGTCCTCCCTCAGGTTGTTAATCACACACACACAGGTACAGGAAGGACTAAGTGCTCAGGCCCAGAGTGAGAGGAGCTGGGGACCCAGGCAGAGGGGTGAGGCTTGCCATGTGCTCATTTGCCCGGAGCAAATCCCACCTGTAGGACCCCCCATGCAACTCCCTTACCATCTTATGTAGCTTTTGGTCTGCTGACTATGATTTCACCAGGCAAAGCAAATCAGTCCCATAGAAGTCCATTCCCAGGTGGAAGGTATTTCCCATCATTCCTTCTCTTCAACACCCCGGAACCCATCTACCAGCCTTGCTCCCTCAGAGAGTCTAACTTTTCCAAATGCCCTGCCCTGAAAATCCCCTCCCACTCCAATCCGTCCAGTGCATGCCTCCCCCTCCCAACACCCGGTTGGTACCTCTTGGCCTCTCTCCTTGTCCTGGGTAGCTCGGATTCCTCCGTCGTCTGCAGACATTTTTTAAATCTCAGAGCCAGAAAGCACCGTTGAGTCGTTTGGTGCTCGTGTTGGCCAAGCCCCCTCCAGTTTCTGGCCAGGAGCCTGGATGAGCAGAAGGAAATCAGCCACCGTCTCTTGGACACCCCCTGAAAGCCCCAAAATCCCCATCCTCGGCCCCAGACCCATCCTTGGCCCCAAACGGACATAAAGCCCCCCGGACGCCGTCCAACGGCCTCCCTTTCTAAGCTGTTTTTGGTTCCTCGTTCTGACTGAATGCTGTTTTCTGTGATCCCCTTTATCACTGAAGCAACAACTCCGAATCTCAGAGCAGCTGGGCTAGGGAAAGCTGGGGGAATTTGGAATCTGTATCTCCCGTCACCAGGAGCGTAAAGATCTGCAGAGATGCTACCAAACAGGTGCTGAATGGGGCCCCGCCCGCCGTAGCCAGCTCGGCGGAGGAATCGAGGCCCCAGCGTCTCCCGGCCCCGGACACACACACACACACACACACACACACCCTGCGCTCGACCTGACTCGGTCCCACCTGGGATCCCGAAATTGAGCCGCCCGCTCTCAGCAGCCCTCCCTGCGGCTGCAACCACCCGCCCGGGCAGGGCGTCCATCCTGCTCACGGTCCCGCACGAATGATGTCCTTCCTCTCTCCGAACCCGGTCCAGGCCTCCTCCTCTCCCCGCCAGCCCGTAGCCTTCCACCTTTGACCCCGGCCCCTCCTGCCAGCCGGCCACCCGCGCGGCTCTCGGGATCCAGGCGCCCTCCCAGCCCCGCTCTCACCGACTTGGAGGCGGAGGGGGCGCTACGGGCGGCGGGGCCCCCGCCCCCGGGGAAGGGAGTCTCCGCAGCCTGCACCGGGCGCAGGGAGCCGGGTGGAGACTGGGACTAGGGACGACAGGAAGTCCCTCCCAGATCCCGTTCCCCGAGCAGCTGCAGCCCTATAGGGTTCCCAGCCTGGAGGGTTCCGGGTCTGGGGTCCCGAGACCGGCTGCACCTGCTCTCGGCCGGCCGGGAGACAACTCCCCAGATCCTCCTTGCTGGCTCACGACCGCTTTACCCGGCCTGTACTCGTGAAACCAGCCAAGCAGGGGCGCCAAAGCGGGAACATAGATTTTGTCAAAGGATTTTGATATTTGAGAGCGTTTCAAATTTGCAGCTGTCCTTACAGGACGGACACTGTCCAGTGGAGGGACACGGTGGTCCTTTTCAGTACACAGTTTCTGAAGGTCTTATCGATGTCTCCGTGGAGACATCCTTGGATTTCATTTAAGGCTCCCAGAGTGGTCAGCAGGTCCTGAAGTTCACCTCAAGGCTGGCATGGAGGTCTCGCTGCCTAAGAGCAATCCTAGGAAACAGAGAGACCTGGGAACAACTCTCTACCCACTCCTACCCCACATGGCTCACACCTTGGAAAGATGTGGGATTAATCTGATTTTTTTTTAGACACCTTCCCCCCACCCCCAGCTCCCTCTCAAGGCTAGGGATAGAAGTGACACAGGGGCCTGAGCCAGCCACCCCTGACCCAGCATGGGGTCCCAAACCCTCAGACAACCCTGGTGGCTTCATAGTCCACCCCTCCGCCTCTGTCTTTCCTTCGGACCCTGAGAACTAAGTTTCCAAAAATGGAGAGCAGAGACTATGCTTCACTTTCTGGGGCAAAGCACCCATCCCTCCTTAACAGGGCACAGGAGACTGGGTGTCAAGAAAGGGGTGAGGGTCAGCCCTGTAGTCAAATACCAGGAAGATTCCTCCTGGAAATGTTCCCAGGCCCCCTGCCTTCCGCCCATCAGAGTCCTCCGAGATGCATCCACGTCACCCCGGAAGACAGACACCACTGGCCCTGTACCGCCCCCTTGGTGTGCTTGCTGTGTGCGCTCAACAAGGGTTTAATTAAAACAAACAAACAAACAAACAAAACTTAGATCCCCAAACTTAAAACTTAGGAGAGTCCCCATCAGATTGACTGTCTTGAGAAAGCAGAACCAGAGCAACCCTGTACCCATATTCCTCCCATTAGGGGTCTGCTCTCAGTTTACCACCTTTGGTTCCCCACTTGGCCCTTGCAGCATTTTGGGTTTGCAATTCTGCTTGTGGAGTTCAACTTGTTTTAGGAGTCCTAGAATTCTGAGGGATTCTACAATCACTTTAATGAAAGAAAAATTACCCCCCGGAGTTTGGTTCTGGTCAGTATTTTCAGGTGTTTTAATCCTCAAGGTAAGGAAAAGAGAACAAAGTTGTATCAAGAGTCAATACTGTTTTCAAGCCAGAGAGGGTTATAAACTGAGGGAAAAGGCACAGTGGGCCTTGTAAAAGATGAACTGTGCAGTGTGGGAGTGTTTCTTCATCACGTCGGTGTCCAGAGTAAAGGAATTCGCCCTGAGGTGGACCGTCTCACACATGGCAGAGTCTACCCAGGGCAGGAGTATACCCAGGGCAGAGAGAGTGTGTGTGTCCTGACTCCTGGGCAAATGTTTCTCTATCAGGCAAAAGGGACTACTTCAGGGATACTGAGAAAGCCCAGAAGTTTGGATGCCACTATGGGATCACCTAAACTAGACCAAATGAAGTCTCAGCATTTATTTAACTGTTCAGAAAATATTTATTGAGTACGTACTATATGACAGACATTAACTCCTTGGAAATGAAAAGAGACCATTCCAGGGCTTGCTCTAGGTCTGAGCAGGTCTGGGAGGAAGGATTATTAATATTTGCTGATAAGAATTGCAGTCCCTTAAAGACTTCAGAAAAGCACCAGGGCAGAGTGAGTCAATAAGTAAAGCAGTCAAAAACCTAAATGCCTTCAGTAACCAGGTAGTATTGAAGATGCCCTGGAGAAGGGAAAGGCTACCCACTCCAGTATTCTGGCCTGGAGAATTCCATGGACTGTATAGTCCATGCGGTCACAAAGAGTCAGACACGACTGAGCGATTTTCACTTCACAACCAGGTAGTACAATGAACGATCAGCGCTTGAGGTATAAGACTGGAGTGAGAGGGACTTCAAGTGTCTCAAAAAACCACATTTTGTTTAAAGGGGGTGGTTGGGGTTCGATATTGCCAAAAACTTGAGGATTTTTCAAGAAAAGCCAAGAAAGAATTAGATTTTTATGTGAAATATCCTGATGTTTGGATGTAGATGACTAAAACCAACAAGCAGTTTAAGAACTGTATACAATTCCAGCAGAAAACATCTGCTGTCTCGTTCACAGGGGTATACTTACCTCATGAGCCTGTTTATAAGATAATTATCATGGATGAAGGGGCTTTTTGGAACTTCAGGTGTGGGAAATGTTCAACAAATGCCAATTCCAGTATCCTGTGACTTCAGTGAGCTTGAGTAAGAAATGCCATCTTTAGTAAATACTGGGTTAGGCAAAATGGATTTTTGGTCAAGCCAATAACTCTGTGAATTCCCTCCAGACTGGCCTGCGAGCTGATTCAGGTCTTAAAGAGGACCTTACAAAAACAGCCAGGATAATAAAAACTAGGGGGGAAAATCATTTGATATAAGAAAAACAAAAACAAACATGTACTCATTAAGATGGTTAAACCAGGCTGGAGACAGGGCACTGCAGAGATTTATTTAGCCTTAGGGAAGAGAGATGATAAGGCAAATAAAGGAATGTGAGAGAAGTCAAGAAAAACAGGAATAATCGAGTAATATCAGATCAAATGTTAACCACTGTAAAAGAAAAAAAAAAGAAGAAGACACTTGCTCCTTGGAAGAAAAGCTATAACCAATCTAGACAGCATATTAAAAAGCAGAGACATTACCAACAAAGGTCTGTCCAGTCAAAGCTATGGTTTTTCCAGTAGTCATCTATGGATGTGAGAGCTGGACTATAAAGAACTCTGAGCGCTGAAGAACTGATACTTTTGAACTGTGGTGTTGGAGAAGACTCTTGAGAGTCCCTTGGACTGCAAGGAGATCAAACCAGTCCATCCTAAAGAAAATCAGTTCTGAATATTCATTGGAAGGACTAATGCTGAAGCTGAACCCAATACTTTGGCCACCAGATGCGAAGAACTGACTTATTGGAAAAGACCCTAATGCTGGGAAAGACGGAAGGCAGGCGGAGAAGGGGACGTCAGAGGATCAGACGGTTGGATGGCATCACCGACTAGATGGAAACAAGTTTGAGCAAGCTCCGGGAGTTGGTGAAGGACAGGGAAGTCGGGCGTGCTGCAGTCCCTGGGGCCGCAAAGAGTCGGACACTACTGAGCGGCTGAACTGAACGGATAAGTGTTAGGTAGGTGGAGCCATAAATTGAAGAAAAAAAAAGTTTTAAAGAAGAAAAATAAGAACTCTCAGGGTAGCTGGAGACCAGGTCGTGAGTTTTCAGGCGGCCGGCGGTCCGCTGACCCCCGGAGGCGTAGAGGGAACCTGCGACTCCATCCCCTGGCTGCGAGGTGGCCGCTGGAGGACGCGGTCGGAGCCACGCGAGGCCCAAAACGCACACAAATCGGCGCAATCCAGCTTCGCTGCCAGCGGAATACCGACGCGGGGATCGCGTCGCTCAGGCAACGATTCTGCCCCGCCCCGCCCCGCGGGAGACACTGTAATTGGCTGTCTTCCGCATGGTCCCGCCCACAGAGCGCAACCTGATCGCCCTTACCTGCGCGCTCTAGTCCGCGCCCCCGAAGGCGGCCCCGCCGGGGCTGGAGGGTTATCCTGTTGCTACCTGACCTAGGTTAGTTGTGCCCACGTTTCCCGTCCGGCTGCCCATTTCAACTTCCGTTTTTCCTGGGTCTCTCGTGGAGCCCGCCTGGGGATCAGGGGCAGGGGGGCAACTGGGGCGGTAAGGACCGAGGGGCGGACGCCCGGGAGCCCTCGCGTTCCCCGTGGAGAGAATGGGGCTGGCTGAGCGAGGGCCCTCTGCCCGAGAGCGCCAGCTCCAGGGACCCGCGAGCACGAATTCCCGCCCAGCGCTCAGTCCAGCCTCCCGGGTCACGGATCTCCGCCCCTCCACGTCTGATGGGTTTTGTTCCAATAATGAGAATGTATGC